AGTGCATATTTAAATTATTTACATTTTAATTAAAAAATAAATAATTCAATAACATTTATTTGAACATTTAAAAATGTGCATATTAAAATTATTCTTGTTTAGAATTTCTCTGGAAAGAAAAACACTCCTTTCCAGCTGCAAAGTTTGAGGCATCTTTATTTTGATGTAAAAACATAAGCATATAAATTGGACTCATTCAAACTGTGTTCACCAGAGTGATCATACAGTCTCACAGGGTGCAGTGCTGATGGCACTATCTGAGATCGGGGTGCCTCAGCTCCGGCTCTGGATAGTTTAAATCACATTTTTATTTTCGGGGCACCATGGTCAGTGGCATACAGTAAGAATACACTGCTTTTGACTGATTAAACCAATTATGGATTCAATCAACAAGGCTGCATGAAAAGACAAAAGACTCAAATGCTTTCAATCCAGGGCCTGTCATGACATTATATAATCATGATGATTAATGACACATATACATGCCCATTCATTTTTTTTATTTTAACTTTCTCGTTTCACTGAAAGAATTTAACCAGCATCATAGTGCCAGCCTGTTAAGGCAGGTCCAGGAAAGTGGAATTTTCCAAAAGGCAAACACACAACTTGAGCATTAGTCTGAACGGAAAATTTCCAAATTCTCTTTGCTTTCCCACCAAAGCAGTAAATACAAAAATCCCTCTCAGTCTTTCATTCTCCTTCATTGTCACTAGCAAAGCTCTGATCATCGGGAAGATGAAGCCGACTGTCCTGTTGGCTGGGGCACCCTTGATTCGTGACTGATGTGGCTGATCTCCTTTTCTCTCCCTAGTCCTCAAGGAAGAGCTGTCAGCATGCAGACAGACAGACAGATCTGCTCACGCCAGAGCTGGGCAGCAGCCCAGAGAGCACAGGAGATATGAGAGACAGAACCACGGGTGGGATTCAGGAACAAGATCCTGTGCCCTTAACAACGTCACAGGAGAACATGCATAAACAGAATCATGAAATGCAAACAAATATTCAAAGTAAGAATAGGTACAGAAAACTGAAATTCTCAAGGAACCCCTGATGCAACTGTAATTTCGCGGATGGAAATTGGAACAGTTTCCTGCTGTTGAACACTCCTGCTCTCAGTGTTAAATTGCTCCGATGATGAAAAACATGTTGGTTATTTATCTCAAACGTGCTGGATGAAGGACAGCACCATGGCAGGGCCATTAACCCTGCTGCCTCGCATTGCTTGGGTTCTGGGGTTTGACGCTGGTGAGGGATACCCTCTCTGTGTGAAGCTTGCATGTTCTCTGTATGTCTGCGTGGGTTTCAGAACATCAGAGCAGAACAAAGGTTACAAATGCGGTGAGACCAAGACGTAATCTTGCCTTTGCCCTCTGTGAATCTGGTACTGGCTCCGCATTGCCACAACAACGACCAGGAATTAGTTTTTTTTCTGATTCTGGTGGGGTGCGACCTCATGAGGAACATGCAGCTCCTTGCCAAGACAACACTGATAACAGAAAAAATCAGAACCACTCCTTCTTCACAGCTCTACTGTATCCGAGTCCTGAAAGCTCTAAGGTGTGAAGTCAGGCCAGTCAGGTCCAACCCTGATCAGAAAGGTTGGGTAGGCACACACACAGAAAGGGTCGTAAAAGATCGCGTTACTGGAGCTGTCCAGGAGAGTGGTCGGAAAGCACCGCTCCAGCTGCTCTCCAGCCGTCCAAAACCGGGTAAAATCATCGTGTGGGAAACACGTTTCGGTCCTTTTCCGTATTTCGCCATTGGTGTTACCACACCAGAACGCAGTTTTTGAAACTCTGACAGAAGACGGCGTGGCGTCGGCCCGACACGTCGA